CCCACTGCTATTTTGGCTTATTTATTCCATGGGGTATGTCCAAAACTTTAGTTCTATCTCGGACCACATCGCTTCGAGTTCGATCACTCGATCATATCCCTCATCGTAACTTACACCACGATCAATCACATAACTAATCAACTGACAAAAGAATTAAAATTTACGGCATTTAAATATTTTATGAAGGTCACAAAAACTCGAAACAATTTATTATTGACTAAGTAATGAAGCACATTCAAGGGAAATCTATTGATAAAGCTAGGGCCTAAGTTGCTGGTCTAAGTTTTCAACTAACATTTTTCTGATTGTTCTCAGTATTTAAAATCACCAAAGAAGAGAAAATTTGAAGACGAAGAATTAATCGCGAAGAAGAATACGCTTGACCTAGCACGATCCACGTATAAGATTTGCAGCAAAAAGTTCCGTATCTTCAAGGACTACAGGACGTCGGACAGACAAAAACAGCGAATACAAACAACTTATGATCTACTGCAAAACCAAATAAAGAAATATAAAGAGTTTGCAGAAAAAAAGAAACTGAATTTAGATAAGAATATTTTATATCTGGGGAAACTAGTAACTGGCACAAAGGAACGTCACAAGAAACCTGTTAAGGAAGTGATAAGTAATAATACAAATTTGGAAAAAAGCAAAATAATAATAAAAGAAACGGCAATAAATCATAGCAATTACACTATCAAACGTATGTTAAAAGACTTTGAAATCGTCCGATCTAAACAATTAAAATCAATTCAAAATATTGGAAAAGAACTTAGTTTTGTTAATCGAAATGAAGAGGAACTTCGTAAATTGAAATCAAAATTAAAAGAGAAAGCAGAATATATAAGGATACAAATAGCTGAAGCTAATAATAAAGACAAGGAATTGGATGCAGAAATTAAGGAATTAGAAACAATAAAACATCAAACTAAAAAGGAAATTCGTGAAAAACAAAATGAAATCATTGAGGTTCGGAAGGCTATACAGATAATGATGGAATCCGTCAAAGAAGTAAGGCAATCATACAAGAAAAATATCGAAAACTACAATGAAAAAATGCAAAAAATTAAAGAAGAGATGGATGCGATAAACGCAGATTTAAATGCGAAAGAACTGGAATTAGAAGCTAAAAGAAACAAAAGAGACAACATCATAAAGGAAATTTGCGATAAGGAAAAAAGTATTAATGAACTAAAAAAATGTGTAGAACATTTGCAAAATTCTAACAGAATTAAGGACAAAGAACTCTGTAAGAAAATGCGACTTAAAAGTGAATTGTTAGCAGTCGGATTTCAAACTAAGAAAAAGTTAGAAAATCTGAACAAACAAATAGCTGAAGCTGCACAGAAAAATAAAATAATGAAACAAGAAATGATGAAGGCAAGTGAATGTATTAGGATGAAACAGGTACACTATAATATTAAAAGGCTTGCTGCAGCAAGCCGTCGTTTGCAATACTCAAGTCACCATAGCGCAGCAGCTGCAACCGACGCCGGGAACTAGCGGCATCCGTGACGCTGTGACCAGAGAACAAGCACCACTCCTATTCCCACCTACCTACCACTCATAAAGCTAGCCTGGCTAAGGACCAAGCCAACAATAAGAAGACAGCGTGGCTTCGCTACTGTTAAGTGTCGGCTTATCACGTAAACGTGTCAACAATCAGTGCAACAACGAGTCGACAGCCACAACATTCACAAGCAAATGACAGTTTTGAAAAATCAGGGCAAACAATATTCGCTCCTGTAATATCAAACCTTAGATGTACCTGATTGCGTTTTTTTAAATATTAACGTAATTTAAGTATAAATTGTTTTTATTATTTAGCATTTACTAGATGTTGCAGTAGATGTAAATATTTTAGTTGATAGTATATTATCTTTATGTCCATGGAGTTTCTTGCCGGTTCTTCTCCATGAGGGTTGAGTATTTCGGAACCGTGCACACTTTCACATTTGGCCAAAGACTCAATTGACAGCGCTTTTTTATATTTTCATTTCGTTAAATACCTAACCTAACATGACATCGCTACTTGTAACAGAATATTAATATTATAAGTATTGTAGTCATTGCTCAGTATGTCAGCGCCAGGCCTCCTACGGATGTAGTTTTGTTTTGTCATAAAACTGTAATTATAACAAACTAGCATTATTTGTTGAAATACTCAAACAAATTATGCATTTTGTAAATATTATTTAACTATTTTTGTATAATTGCGTATAAGGTTCACAATGTAATTTTCATTTTAATATATTTATATTGTTTACTATTGCTGTGTATAATATTTAAGACTACATTATTACATATTTACATCAGGCGTAAATTGTAAATGTTGATAAAATTAATTTAATGTTTTATTCTTAAATTTAACTATTTAACTTCTATGGCGTTTAAATAATTCAAATCAATATAAAAATCTAAATACGGTACACAAAAATACACTAAAAACTTAATAAGAAAAATTTTTTAATGCGGCATGACATTCAACAATTTCCTATAGATACCATAGTCGGACTATACATAGTCAGTAAATTAAAACTAAAGTAAACCAATTTAAGGACTTTAGATATACTCTAATATTTTAAGTTTTAGTATTAAGAACTTCGGTAACATGTCCATTTCATAATTAAATGGAAATATCGGCTTTCTCACGTGAACTAATTGAGGAAAGCTCTATATCTGATTGGTTGGTTAACTTGGAGCAGGTCAATTAAATTTGTAACACGTTTAGTTCGAGTGAGGAAGTAACCTTTTCAATAAATCTAGTATGTATCCGATTTATTATACCAAACTGTTGTTACTGTACGTGTTATATTTTTGTAATAAATAAGTATATTTTCACTTAAACCGATGTTTTATTTACTTTTCGTGTTTGAAGGGATATTTAGTTAAAACCTGTAGTTGTACGTGTCTACCATGTCTTGCGTCACGTGGTGGGTTTATGCCGCTACCGCACTGGGGCGTTCAAAAATGCCGCCTCTGAACATACCTATAATTTGTAGAAAACATTGAATTTAATCTTCGAATTTTGCGCTTAGTAACTCATTTGGCGTAGATAGTAACAGCGTAGAGTGGGACATGGGTCGGTGACCACGGAGGGCGGCTAACGTAAACAATCTCACACGTGGAAATGAACGCGCACTACTTTTACTTGTATTATAATTGCAAAGTAACTGGCCAGACGATGGAGATAAGAGACCAACAGTTTCATTAAAGCTTGCGCGTCTCCCAAAGCGGCGAGCTCGACGGTACCGCGACAGGCCGTGGTGTCCAAATATGTTTACAACATCATCACAACGACAACGATGAGACGAGCAAACTTTTTTTCATGCTGCACCTTGTCTTGATTCGTGTGTTGTGTATGTGAATACCTGGTGGTAAGCAATCAACGCCGCCCATGGACACTTACAATCACAATACCCTTTGGTACTGTGAATGTCCATGGGTACTAAACATTGCCCACCTCTTGTGGGTTATTAAGTATTTAAAGATTGGAGGATTGAGAATGGGGGGAGTAGGTACTAGGGTCCGGTAACCTTATTCACACGGCGAAACACAACATAAATGTTGTTTCCGTTGTTTTTCGGCTTTCAGTGAGGCCGTAGTCACACCGGTCGATCCGGCCCATTCGTGCCGAAAAGAATGGCTCACCCACACAAAAATTTGAGAACATAGGTACAATAATATTTAATTACATAAAATAAGATAAAGGGTAAATGATACACCGTGATATTAATCAGTTTTTGTAAATGTGAGTACCCTTTTTTTCGCGCACGAGTCGGCGGACGACGGGTAATAGTAGCTCGCCGCCCGAGCAGAACCAGACCCGAGCGTACGTCGCGTGCCGTTCCGCTTACGTCTCAAAAAGCTAATAGACCACAGACGCGGTCCTACAGGGCCGATGTTCAACCGGAGTTGCATGGCTATCGCATTAAGGTACCACAGCCTCGGCCTATAGCAGGAGAAGGAACAGGGGGTTTTCAGTCAGTAAACAATTAAATGAATTTTCTCTCACAAAAAAAGGTTCTTCTAATGTTGTTGCCAAAATGCGCATGAATGGCGCGGACGCTGCAAACAAAAACCGCAATCGATAAGCTGGCTCCAGGATGGGTCTCTACTGATATAATGTGATAGCTATTTGTGGGAAAGCTATTGCTTCGGTACTGATGGGCCGGCTTGTAGAAAACTAGCGTGAAGCAATTTACACTGTGTGACTGTATTTCAACGTGCGAGTGTGGATATCGGAGGCCCAACCCTATCCTCAATTCAACAAATCCCCTATCCTTAAATCTCTAATAACCCAAGACGCCGGCAACGCAATTCTGGTAACTTCTTAGTGTTAAAAGTGTCCATGGGGGACGCCGATTGTTTACCATCAGGTAATACCTACGCCAGCAATTAGGCATTCATTATGAATCTTAGATGATACTATGTATATATTTGGATAGGAGACCAAACATCTAAGAGAATAATCAATCTAACAGTCATCGTATCATTATCTGTGAGTCTTTGGTGCTCTATGGCTGCGGTACCACTTTTGAGAACTGGCTAGAGAGTTGCCGGGGTCCTTAACAGCCCCTGACGCCTGACTGCCAGATGTCTCCCAGTCACGGCAGTATCCGAAGGCTTCAGTTTAGGATTAGGTGGAAGGTAACGCCCAGGTGTCGTCACTGCGAGGACCTCCATAAAGACATGGTAGAGTATACGATGGCGGTGTGCCCTACCATACTCTCAGGGAAACTGATAGCCTGGCCTTTTAGAAGTTGGCGATAATAACATGAATGTAATGAAGATTGAAAATTTGATGACGAAAGTATTTATTTGTAATGTTAGTAAGATGGTCACGCGCGTTGTTGATATATAACAAAGGTGTTACTGTTACTTTTATTGTGTAGGTATTCTCAAATGACACGCCCTTTAAAAAATGTAAACTTTATTTGTTTTCCTTAGTCACAAAAGTAAAAATATAAAATAAACTAGGTTAATAATCGACTAGTTTCCTAACCAATTATTTCACCTCTTAACTCAATATACCGGACACTCTGGTTGGGATTAGTTTCGCTTCTCCGAGGCGACACTCTATTTGTATTTCGCTGTGGCGCCCTCTGTCGCGGTCCTGCAGCTGCTTTCCTACGCGCTGCCGCTCTTTTCCTACGCTTTTGTGCTGTCTTCTTCATATTTTCCAATTCTTTATTAGCCTCTTTTATTCTTTGTTTGATATCAATAATATCCGCCTTAATTTGAGACATTAATTTATTCTTTTCTGCTAATTCTTTCTCTAATTGAGTTATTTGGGTTTGTACTGACTTTTGTGTTTTGCGCGGTTTCCCGTTAGGTGTGGCGTCATTGCCTGCTGCAGCTGTAACACGAGTTAAACATACGTAAATATTATAAGTAACCTCAAAATTTACTTCCCATTCCGAGACTCCTCTTGTTTCTTTATATGTGAGTAATATTTTTCGAGCTGTTTCTACACATCACTAATATAGATTGTAGCCTACAATTGTAGGAACACGTAATAAATAAGTACAGATATACTGCACCTAAGTACTATGGAAAGCCCAGAAAGTATAAGAGCTTCGCTTCACTAGGACATCACAGCGACGTCGCCAAAATATGGGATAGGATTTGAAAATTTAAAGATTTTTGCTCTTGTCGAGACTAGGTCTAGATAAAATTCGTAAATAAGTTCTATACCTGGGCCAGGTTCCTGGTTGTCCATTCTTTGTGGGAACACTCCTCCATTGACCTGTCCAACATAGTTAGCAGCCATTACCTTCAGCTCCTCAGCTCACTGTAATTTTTATAAAACGCTTAAGTTTGTTTCCCTATTAGTCTATTTATCCATTTATTATACAACTACAACCTTCAGAATAATATGCTTAATGTTGCTCAGCGCATCAAAACACTTTGCCCCATCTCAATTCAGCAAAACGCTACGAAGCGCGGGGCTCGAGCGACGCGGCGTTCCCGCTCTTTATACCTACATAATTATTATCATGTTAAAAGGATAAGCTATCATTCATTTGCTTAAAATTTGGTACAATATTTGCCAAATAATAAAAATACTTACATAAATTTTGCTAAATCAATAACAACATACGTAGGTACTAAATTATAAACTGAACATTGCAGAAGTTATTACAATGAAATGATTCAAAGTTTTAACAAGCGCCATATTTGCAAAAGTTAAGTACACAGGTTAAGTATATCTACTAGGTACATGTTAGCGTTCGCTGCTACTGTTTGAAAAGCTATATTTATATTCTGTGACGTGATAAATGTTGTGAACGTGTAAAAAAGGCGGGAACGCGAAATGCTTTACTTTTGCGTTACCTACTGTTTTGTTTGGGTGTTGATGCCTATTTGCTCGGCACACCGGTACAGTTAAAACACATGACGACCCTCGAAGACGTGATTCTTGACAGAAACCAAATTAATTAACTCAGCCAATTTACACGTCCTTGAGTTTTACTTACACTCCACAACCATTGAGTAGTGAATCTATTACCTAGTAAACATTTATTACGAATTAGATATCTACGTACAGTTTGCAATTCGTTAAATAAAAGTCATGTAAACTGGGTGTGTGTTGGGTAAACAATTAATAACTGCTAAACTGATAACATCACGGCTACTGAACTTACCAATATTTGTCACGAAGAATCACCAATTTGTAAAGAATATGAACTGAAATCCTCTAACAAATACTTATGATGTATAATTCGATACAATTATTCCACTGTATTTATCACATATTATATCACTTATGACTAAGTTAGGTATTATTATATATTTGCGTCGGAAAAATGTTAACACGACCACTGGAGTCAACTCTTCGAGCTAGTGTATAATCTATGGTCGACTCGTCTCTAGATAGAGTGGCTCATAACCCATACATTAGAAACAAATAAGTAACAGCACATTTTATCGTGTTTTATAGCTGTGTGCGCAACACATTCGAATGTGTTAGAAAATAAATATGTTAGCCCGTTATATTATTTAATAATACCTAGTCTAGCCATAAATACTGTAACAAATAAAAAAAAACATTTTTTCTATTGTAAATAACATTTATTACTTTTACAGTATGTAAGTTTAATACATAAATATAAAAAAAATTAAAACATAGTAAAAAGCTTATTCGAAGTGGTCTCCTTTGGCTGCAATACAATCCTTTAAACGTTGAGGCCAGTTATCAATAGAAGCAAGCACTCTTTTCATGGGAAAATTCTTCACTGCCAATCGTATGGATTGTTTTAGGGAGTCCAAATTATTATGGCGTTTAGAGCAAGCCCTACTCTCTAAAACTGATCATAAATCATTAATCAACAGCGGATTAAGATCGGGACTAGACGACGGCCAGTCTTCAGCTCTGATGAAGTCGGAAACATTCGTTTCCAACCAAGACTGCGTGGACCGAGCTTTATGACCCGGCGCCGAGTCTTGCTGGAAGGCTGCCATTGTTGGTTATTGAACATGGTGTTGTTAAGGGGCTTAACTATCTTCTTAAGAATGATATTTTGATACACTTGTGCCGATGTTTTGATACCTTTTTTGCAAAAGTATGGCTCAGTCACTCCTTAATAGCTAACACCCCACCAAACCATCACTGAAGTCAGATAATGCCCACGTTGCACTCTGTCGACTAATTGAGAAGCTTCCTTAGAGCTTTGAGCATAAATACGGTCATTTAGTTTGTTAAAATGTTGCTCAATAGTAAAAAATTTCTCATCCGTAAACAAAATTTTTCTGTGACCTCCCTTTGCGTACCGCTTCAGTAGTTGTTTAGATTTTAACACACTATTCTTTTTTAAATTATCATTTAAAAAATGTCCAGTGCGTCTCTTATAGGCTGCAAGTCCTAAGTCGTCTTTTAAAATACGCGACATGGTTCTAGGTGCTATCTTCATCCCCGGGATAAAATCTTTTGCTTTCGGACAGGATTTCTTCGAATTCTTTCCCTTACTGCTTTGACCACCTTTTTCGTACGAACACTACGTGGACGGCCAGATCTTTTTCTGTCACAAACAGAGGAGGTCTCATTGTACCTATTAATAGCCCGGTACACAAACATTTGACTAATGCCAAGCGTGTGGAGAGTTTTAAAAATTGCATTTGGTTCCATACCCACTTTGTGTAATGCAATCACAACGATTCGGTTCTCTTTATCACCCCACTCCATTTTAATATCGCAAAATATTGAACAATTTATTGGCGCCAAAATAAGAAAACACAATGAAAAATTATATAAAAATGTCAGATTCCAAATTCAAATGTAATATTTTGTTTATTTTTAATTGTAACAGTATTTATGGCCAGACTATGTATTAATCTAAAGTTTAAAACTCCCTGAAAAGAAGAAGAAAGAAAATTTTGCTTTTTTCTTTTTTTTCCACACTAGGGTTTTTTTCCTGTGTCGTGGGTGCGTTTACAAACATACAAATTCACATACACATCGTACCCAGACCCGGAAACACAATTTGTGGATCATGAAAATAGTTGTTCCGTTCGGGAATCGAACCCGCGACACATTGCGCGGCAGCCAGGTGCCCAGACACCGCGCCAACCGTGCAGTCAAATATCCATAGCTATCTTAAATCTAAGCGTGTTATTACAGGATTTAACCTTTTTTTTTACCTGTTACCTGGGGAATAATAATGATGCTGTCGCGTCAGAATGTTTGTATAAGAAAGTGACACCAACAAGTTTATTCCTCACATAACATTTATCAAACCATTGAAAAATCAGCCCCAAATAAATAAACTTTCGCTATAATAACCAGAAACGAAGTAGACTATTTTGTCACAAGCATTCAAGGTTTAATTGGTAACGCATAAAATAAATAAATAAAATATCGCAAAGAACATTATGTCCATACATAGACAGACAGTATCAAAATAGCAAAAGAAATTTGTTAAAACGTAATAAAATCGACGTTATCGTTGTTGACAATGACCTTTATGATATGAACCGGGTAAGTATATATCTAAGTTCTAAAAAAGCGTGCAGATCACTATCAACTGTATCCTAACTAACAAAACGGTTTTTAAAGATCAATTTAGTACTAAACAATAAAAAGACAAAATGCCTTCGATTTATTTTCGTCATCATCATCATCATCAGCCTTATGTCGTCCACTTCTGGACATAGGCCTCCCCAATTGCACGCCACTGAGCTCGATGTTCAGCTCTTCTCATCCAACCACTGCCAGCCACCCTGCGGATGTCGTCAGTCCATCTAGCTGGAGGGCGCCCTACACTACATTTGCCTAGTTGCCTTTGCGAATTACTTTGCCCAACCTGAAACATAATCAAATAAGGATCTAATTAGGAACTAATAAGTAAGTCAAGAAAACTAGGTCCAACCACACAAGCACTATCTATTTTACTAAGTATAACGTTATCACTATTATTACTCGTACTGCATAAATTTTACAGGTTTGTCCAATACGAGAACATTGAAAAAAAACATTTCTCGCAAAATTATAAAAAACTACAGAAGCGTTAAAATAATTTCCAACACTTTCCGTCGAGTTTCTCAGCATTAACGTCAAAGGATGTCCTTCTGATTTTAGATTTCATAACTCAAATCCCCAGGCATCAATAAAGACGTAAAAATAATAATATCACAGTTAGGTCGAATCTTAAGAGAATTTCTATTAAATTGTGGGAGAACCAAGCTTCGACACGAATGAGTCAGCTCAACCGGAGTGATACCACGGCCTCACAGAAAACCGGCGTAAAACAAGCACAGCGTTGTGTTTCGCCGTGTGAGTGAGGTTACCGGAATCCCAATCCTTCCTCCTCCCGCAATCTCTTCCCAATCCTTAACTTAATATCTCTTATCCCCAAAAAGCCGGCAACGCACTCGTGTGTTACGGGCGTCCATGGGCGGCGCCGATTGCTTATTATCAGTTCATCAGCACATTAATTTGCCGACCTAACCCATTAAAAAAAAGTGTGTAAGTACTTAGGTATTTTATGGAGACTATTCATTCATTAATTTGTAATAAAAGTATAGATCAATGTGTTTTACGGGATTTAACTTGCACATATTAAAGTAGTTCCATTTTTTTTAAATATTCAAAACAAAAACTGTAGGTCGGTCTCTATTGTGCTAGTGCTCAGTAAAGTGTTTGAAATGTTGAAGCTTGCTCGAATACTGCGTCACTTTCACACGAATGCCACTTTTCTAATTTTTTAAAATTGCGTAAAAGTCCGTAAACACCAAGAGCTGTACACTCAACTTGACGACAATCAATCACGCTATGAACTCAGACCCCGCGCTAAACTAAATATACCTAAGTCTAGTTTAAAAATGCACTCGACAAGTCCCTACGTTATGTCAATTAAATTGTACAATAAACTACCCGCACAAATAAAAAGAGAAGATAAAATTAATATATTTTTAAAAAAACTTAGACAATTTCTTATAAATAAATGCTACTATTCCATTAACGAATACCTAAATGATAAAAATATATAGACATAAACAGTCACACGCAATACACACACACACACACACACACACACACACACACACACACACACACACACACACACACACACACACACACGCACACGCACACGCACACGCACACGCACACGCACACGCACACGCACACGCACACGCACACGCACACGCACACGCACACGCACACGCACACGCACACGCACACGCACACGCACACGCACACGCACACGCACACGCACACGCACACGCACACGCACACGCACACGCACACGCACACGCACACGCACACACACACACACACACACACACTTACAGTGTAGATTAAGTGATTCAATAAATAATAAAAAAAAAAAATTCAAACATAAATATATACAGGGTGTAAGGGACAGCCCTCCACAAATTAACAGGGTGCATTCAGCTCCTTATTCTGAATCATATTCCAGTGAAAATTCTTTCAGGAAAATTTTCAATTTTTTTTTCGTTTTTTCAGTTCCTACACCTCTATTTCAATGTATAATTACATTCTATGTATGAAGAATAACATTAATGTAAATAACACAGCTAAAACAAAAAAATACGCAATGGTTGTGTGAATTCTCTAAAGAACTACGCATGAAATCAGCTGTTCAATTTCTACCTAGCGCGAGTCGTTTGAACTCACCGCACCGCGGTCACGGCGCAGTGGCTCGGCGCCTCACCGCGCCGATCGCCGCGCCGCGCGCCGTAGGTATAATACCTACGATCCCGTCCAACGTACAGAATAGCTGCGTCCCTTTCTATCGCCCCGCCTCCGCGTCTCCCCGTCTCCCCGATTCTTTGCACAATGTTTGCCCGATTGAACCAGTGTTGCCAATTTTTAACTTTTGTTACCTCAGGTAGTAAACGAAAATGTTAGAACTAGCGAAATTTATCTAAAACTTGAGAACTCCTCTGCATTCATAATTACTTTGATGAGATTTTCATTAATCAATTAATGAAAATCTTGGCGCGCACACAAATTGAATAAGAAATAAATAAAGATTAGTTTAGTTTTAATTTTAAAGCATTTACAAATACTACCTAATTTATTAATTGATTGTTCTTTTTAAGCGATTACTGGCTAGTTTTTAAACTACTTACAGATTTTTACATGGCTTCACAATAGCCATGAATTGATAGTCGAGCCAGAAATTAAACACAATCTCCCTGGAATGGAAGCACAGCTTATCACACTGCACTTTTATTATTCTAAATTAACTAAACAATGAAATTAGAATTAAATTGATTTAATCAATTCATTTCTCTACAAAAAATAACAGAATGATAAATTACGACCATGCATAATTTTTTATTTTTTACCCCGAAATTTTGTAATTTTCGTGTAATTGGCAACAACAGATTTATGTTTGTGTGTATCTCATCACATGCAGTCGCCATTGTGCCACAGTATAAATATCATACAGTATTTTAACTCGGCCGCTTGAAAGAAATAAATACCTACAGCCGCGCGGTACGTAAACATGCGTTAGGGCTGCTCGTCTCCAGTATTTTAATTACCTTTGTCTACTTTCTGTTTCCATTTAGTTTTGTGATTGTAAATATCCTTTTTTTTATATAAACAAATAAAGTGCTTTAAAAATAAACAAACAAAATTTCTTTGGCCACTAATGCCGAACTGAACAGCTGACTACGAATGTTCTAAAATCACAACCCTCAAACATCAAAATATTACATGAGTCTAGCTGTTTTATTGTTGTTATTAAATATTTTCTAGTATTATTCATAAACGCAGATAATAAACAAATATTATTAATAATAAAATACCACACTCTCTACTTTGAATTATACAAACTAACAAAACATACATGAACCGTTTAAACACAAGCGTAAGTAGGTAGGTACCTAACGTATCATGATTCATTCAGAACCAGAACCGCCTATAACTACCTATTTCACTCGTCTCAATAACTTTATTCATATTATTTATAAATTCAAACATCTGTTTTCGTGAGATAACTGGAAATAATGATCCATAAAGACACACATTATGTACCTACCTAGGCTACTAGTAAGTAAAATTATTTTATAGTCTTACCTTTCAGAGTTTCCAGGTAATTTAAAAAAAACTTATGTCTGGATGCGTTATTGACGAATTCATGCAACCAAACATAATAACAGCACAATATTTCCTATTCGTCATATTAAATAATGTACTCGAGTTGATTTCTAAATAAAAGACAACACACCGTCCGTTCGTCACTGCGGTACAGCCGCGTCTGTCTGCGTCCCGAGCGCGTCCCGACATCGGGCGCGTAGGTATAGTTCGCGTTTCGGCCGTTTCTATGAAGTTGAAATACTTGTAGATATTATTACCTTGATTGTGCCTTGCTGCGATGTTATTGTTTGTGTACCGCGAGCGTGTGTCGGCACGGATCGCTCGCGCATTCGGCTTAAAAGTTTTGTTATAAGTAGTGTTGTTAAGTTTTATTAGTTATGTAGTGTGTGAAGTGTAGTGAAGTTTTGTTGTAGAAATTGTGCGAAATTACTACCTAGGTACGTTTAGCGCGCGTGATTATGGGGAGATGATAATGTGTTGTAGTAGTGTAGGTATCTTGACCGTCGCCATCCATCAGACTCCAGGATAATTACTGACTATCAACGCTTGCTAGAAAACCAGCCCATTGTTCCCAGACAAAAAGGCGCCGGTAGACCAATACCTACGTGGATTTTGGAATTGGTTCGCTAACGTAAGGAGACGCTACCACTTACCAGTGCTTTCCTATTTAAACGTAGTTTAGGTAGGTTTGGACCGCAACCGTGGCCAGCACGATCCCCAGACCTAACCCATTTGGACCCCTTTTTGTGGGGTTACGTAAAAGAAAAAGTGTTTGTGAGTGCGTGTGCAAGTGAGTACGAAATGCGAGACCGCATCACAAATGCTTTCCAGAGCCGGAAACCGGAGCGATTCTAAGGTACCTACGCATTTTTCTTTTTTTATCATTTATCAGTTACCATGTTATGATTGTTAGATTTTTTTTTGTAAGTAATGCAGCTATCTTTTAAATAATAATTTATTGTTATTAAAACGTGGCGCAAGCGCGATTATTACATTGTCTTTTGTAAGTAATGCGGCTATCTTTTAAATAATAATTTATTGTTATTAAAACGTGGCGCGAGCGCGACCGTTTGTCTGACGTAAGGTCGCGGCGCTGCCCATAGTGTAAAGTAATAATACTAAAAGCGCTGCCGTTCGCTGCGTGCGTTTGCGGTGGTAGCGATACATTGCGTGTAAGGTAATGAAACAAATCGGTTTAATTGGATTCCCATAACGTTCCTGAAATAATTTCATGTACCGGTCAACCTAAGACGATATACTGAATCCACCCTATCAGTTTGCGGAAGGCTGTCCCTTACACCCTGTATAGGCAAGTAAGTTATACAGGGTGTAAACCGATTTGTTTCATTACCTTACACGCAATGTATCGCTACCACCGCAAACGCACGCAGCGAACGGCAGCGCTTTTAGTATTATTACTTTACACTATGGGCAGCGCCGCGACCTTACCTTTCGGACAAACGGTCGCGCTCGCGCCACGTTTTAATAACAATAAATTATTATTTACAAGATAGCCGCATTACTTACAAAAGACAATTTAATAATCGCGCTCGCGCCACGTTTAATAACAATAAATTATTATTTAAAAGATAGCCGCATTACTAACAAAAGAAAATCTAACAATCATAACATGGTAACTGATAAATGATAAAAAAAGAAAAATGCGTAGGTACCTTAGAATCGCTCCGGTTTCCGGCTCTGGAAAGCATTTGTGATGCGGTCTCGCATTTCGTACTCACTTGCACACGCACTCACAAACACTTTTTCTTTTACGTAACCCCACAAAAATGGGTCCAAATGGGTTAGGTCTGGGGATCGTGCTGGCCACGGTTGCGGTCCAAACCTACCTAAACTACGTTTAAATAGGAAAGCACTGGTAAGTGGTAGCGTCTCGTTACGTTAGCGAACCAATTCCAAAATCCACGTAGGTATTGGTCTTCCGGCGCCTTTTTGTCTGGGAACACTGGGCTGGTTTTCTAGCAAGCGTTGATAGTCACCAGTAATTATCTTGGAGTCTGATGGATGCCGACGGTGAGGATACCTACACTACTACAACACATTATCATCTCCCCATAATCACGCGCGCTAAACGTACGTAACGTACCTAGGTAGTAATTTCGCACAGTTTCTACAACAAAACTTCACTACACTTCACACACTACATAACTAATAAAACTTAACAACACTACTTATAACAAAACTTTTAAGACGAATGCGCGAGCAAGGTAATAATATCTACTTATACTGTGGCGCGAGCGATCCGTGCCGACACACGCTCGCGGTACACAACAGTAACATCGCAGCAAGGCACAATGGCGACTGCATGTGATGAGACACACACAAACATAAATCTGTTGTTGTTTAAAAACTAGCCAGTAATCGCTTAAAAAGAACAATCAATTAATAAATTAGGTAGTATTTGTAAATGCTTTAAAATTAAAACTAGACTAATCTTTATTTATTTTTTATTCAATTTATGTGCGCGACAAGATTTTCATTAATTGATTAATGAAAATCTCATCAATGTGATTATGAATGCAAAGGAGTTCTAAAGTTTTAGATAAATTTCGATAGTTCTAACATTTTCGTTTACAAAGGTAGAAAGAGAGAAAGGTAGAAGAGGTAACAAAAGTTAAAAGTTGGCAACATTGGTTCAATCGACAGAAAGGGACGCAGCTATTCTGTACGTTGGACGGGATCGTAGGTATACCTACGGCGGCGCGGTGATCGGCGCGGTGGGGCGCCGAGCCGCTGCGCCGTGACCGCGGTGCGGTGAGTTCAAACGACTCGCGCTAGGTAGAAATTGAACAGCTGATTTCATGCGTAGTTCTTTAGAGAATTCACACAACCATTGCGTATTTTTTTGTTTTAGCTGTGTTATTTACATTAATGTTATTCTTCATACATAGAATGTAATTATACATTGAAATAGAGGTGCTGGAACTGAAAAAACGAAAAAAAAAATTGAAAATTTTCCTGAAAGAATTTTCACTGGAATATGATTCAGAATAAGGAGCTGAATGCGCCCTGTTAATTTGTGGAGGGCTGTCCCTTACACCCTGTATAACCTTAGTCTTAGTCAACAAAAATAAGTAACATAGGGTCCATATGAACTATTTATAAGTACTACCACCTAAGAATACATGTGGAAAGCAATAAAGTATTGAGTATTGAGTATTCTTGATTAACAATACGGGTTTTCAAGGGACATTGCACAACGGATGCAGGAGTAATATAAAACAAGTTTTTGGCTCGTGGGAAAAAGCACAGGCTGCCATCGGAACATTTTGTGATAGTTGAAGGCTTCTAACTGCGTTGAGCACGATACACTATTACTGAAGCTGGAACACTACGGCATTCGGGTATATCCCTAGATTTATAAGTCATACCTAAAGTAAATGCAACTCAAAGTAGTTCCAAGTAAACAAAGTGAAAACTCACAGGGTGCTAGCATACCTATAGGCGTACCACAGGACTCAATATTAGGTCCATTAAAATTTTTGGTATATGTGAATGACCTGCTCTATTTATTCCAAAATGATATTATTTGTTTATGACACCCAGAACCCAGCCCACTCAGTGGGACGAACATAAGCAACGCGTTGACACAGCACAGCATAAGTACCGTTCCAGCCAGAGTTTCAGGGTGCAAGCGCAATAATGTATCGCGTCACTTTTAGTCATAAAGTGACAAGTGGGATTGTCAGACTCTTACTGAGTAACTCCCACCCTACTCCCATTCCTTCAACTGATTTAGGCCGAAGCCGAGGTGCCTCGTGTAATGCGCTTACCCTGCAACTCTGGCTAAACATCAGCTCTATAGGGCCCCGGTCTGTGGTGGTCTATTGGCTCTTTCAGGTGCACGTGCAACGCTACGGGTCGTAAGCTCGGGTCTGGTTCAGGTCGGGCGGCGAGCTACCGGAGATGTCGCCTACCGCGGCGGCTGGGGCTCCCTCACGCGCTCAGCCTCCTTCTTTGTGAGCATAACTGCTTCGCTTCGCAGAAAGAGGAGACTCTTCCCCGAGGACACGGCGTTGTTCAGCCCGAGCAGTTCCAGTTCCATCGTGTCCTCTGGGTGGTAATCCAAAAGAGCCTGACAGTTATTTTTAACCCACCAAAAAAGCGTATATACAGTTGTTAGTCGGTAGCAGGGTAAGAAGGCAGACAATAAAAAAAATTAGTAGGTAGAGATGTTATAGCTACATAAGATTCTTATAGTATGAAGATAGCTTAAATAATAAGATTACAAAGAAAAAACATCAAATTAATCAAATGATCTTTAATTTACTTATACAAAGAACTCTTGATGAAATGGACAAGTCTTTATTACTTAGCACAAATATTGACACGTTGACAATCCATAAGTCTATATACAATTACCTATCTGTCTACTTGTTTTTACAAATATTTGAACATGAAAGTCTTTGTAGACTTAAGAGTACTGCTCTGCACCAAACTCTCGAGTCTTGGCATCGGTGGGGGTGGTGGAGGTGGCGGTCCAGATAGGACACTATTTGTTACTGGCACTGGATTATGAATCTTAATACTGATATCTACAGGTTCGCTATTTAAAATACGGGTTCCATATATTGACACTGGAGGGCAAATATCATAACCCAATTTGGCGTAGAAATTTTCCTGCCCTTTTGTTGATAAATGAAGCATTTTTAATTTTAACACATTTTTACAATACTCTTCAACTTGTCTCATTAGGAAGCTGCCCAGTTTTTTGCCTCTCATTGATTTACTTATAACTACAGTTTCTATAAAACAGCTTTCTGGTATGCTGGGTATTGGAGTCAATTTACAATGTCCCAGAAGGTGCTTTTTATCATTAACGAGAATTAAACTCGTTGGTAAATTGTCGCATGATGCTTGAAGCGACATCATCCGAGCTGTCTCACTACGTGGCCACTCATCGTTGATTAGTTCGACACATGGCTTTAAATACTGTGGGTTTTCATGTAAACGTAAAACCTGAAGGTCACCGGCATCCATTTTAAACACTGAAAAAAAAACAATAGTATTTTTGTATTCCAAAATATTTTACTTTTACAACCCAAACATATGTCACTCTGACTTTGACAAGTGAATGTCAACTTGCAGCAATCGTAGCTCTACTTATGTCAAAACTTAGATCAAGGTTAGGTTAGATTTTATATTTATTTACTACTGTGTTGTGCAATATCAAATAAACTATTCATAATAAAACAACAAAGAATACTTACAAATTATTCAAAATCCATTTCTACGGCTATACTACACATTGGCACAGAATTTGTGATTTTATCTGGTAAATCTTTGATGCATATTGTTGTTAGCGGGGACGGGCGCAAACTAACCTATTTATAGCTGTCACACGCATGTTTTGAGCAGTCACTATAGTAAAGCACGTCTGTTATACTATGATCTAACTTATTACGACATTACAAAAGTAAAAGTGGTTAAATATAGTTTGATTAGATAATGCAGAATGCTCACAGAAACATTGAGTCTAATCTACGAGAGGATATAACTGAAAGCAGAACTCTATAAAACCTATTTTACCTCTGTAATATCAATAGGAATAAATTATAATTCAAGTATTATATTTACAAACGACTAACTATACTTTTACTCATAGTAATATAATGTAGTTGAGATAAAATGTCTCAAGCTTTACAATTTGAGATTATGCAGTTACATTTCTATCAGTACCAGATTAAACTACTTATCACATTATGTTCAAATCATGAGTTAAAGCTGAATTACAACTACCAACCCACTAAATTTGACTTTTAAAGTTGTTGAACTACCAGCTCATAAATTGTCCAATATCTCAAATCAAAAACTAGATTAAACTAGAAACTAATATAATGTTATTTATTTATATCACTAACAACTATCATTACAGATTATACTCAAATTGTCCAAAATCTTAAATCCAAAACAAGAATTTAGCTACCTGTTACAAAGTCTTGGCAATAGTTTTTAAGTAATTTAATATATTAATATTAATATTTGTTTTAATTTTGGAAATCGAAAAAAACAAACATACAAAAATAAGCAACAGTCTCAAATCAAAATCCAATAAACAGGATGTGTAATAACTCTTTGTAAACAACAGTAATGAAGTATAAGTACTTTGTCTTACTTTTTTCTTCCCCTGCAAGATATGAAATATCTACAATCCGCTAGATAGTAAGTTACTAGAGACAGTAAGGTGTCCAATCATAATTAAGATGTTTTTTTAGGTTATCACACTAAATCATGGATGCAGATGATGATGATGTTCCTGCACTCTCCGCTGAGACATTTGCAGCTCTCCAAGAGTTTTACGCTGAGCAGCAGAAGAGACAGGAGATACTTGATAAACTGGAAGCTGATAATAAACTAAAGGAAAATATTTTGTTTGATGAAAATTGGGTATGATAATGATGATACTACCTACTTAATAAAGTAATATAGGTAATAATAGTTAGTTAATACATATATTCTCTAAGGGAGATACAATTATATAAAAAATATATTTTCCTTATATTTTATAATCAGAATAAAGTAAACAATTGGTGGTTACCCCCTCACATTTAGACAACTAAACAAAATTTCCCCAATAAAAAATATATTTTACCTGACTATGTCAAACAAGTATAGGATCACCTTGTAGTAAGCAATCAATGTCACAAAAGGATGTTCTGCAAAGCGGACTTATGGTTGCCTTGCTGGCCTTTTAGAGTCAGGTGGATATGCGGATAGAGGAAGGAGGATGATTGGGCCTCTGGTAACCTCACTCACACGTCAAAACAACAAGCTGTTGTTGCCGCACGCTGGTTATCTGTGAGCCAATGGTATAACAAGTCAAGACACTTGAAAGTCTACCATTAAATCACTATTTAGGCGCTTAATCGATGGCGAAGTTTCCCCTTTTACAAGAAACTTACCAAGACTAGTGAAAAGCTACTTTACCACAAGTGAAGGCAGGCATGTTTTAATAGGAAAATACGGCTTACTCAAGTGGTTTGTTTAAATAATGTTCTACTATGTATCACTAGTTATAATTCAGACAAGGACTAAAGTCTCGTCTTGTCGTAGCGTCGCGTCGCCGAAAACGCTCGCTGCTCATGAATATGCATCCCAGTATGACTTGAAAATATTAGACCCTTGCTCGAAACTTGTAGAACTTCAAGTGACATTTTTTATTTTTATGTAATAGGTCGGCAAACGAGCAGACGGATTACCTGATGGTAAGCAATCAGCGCCGCCCATGTACACCCGTAACGGAGGAGTTACGAGTGCGTTGCCGACCTTTTAGGGATTAGGGATTTGGAGATTTAGGAACTGGGGAGGGATTGAGAAGGGGAAGGATTGGGCCTCCGGTAACCTCACTCACACGGCGAAACACAACACTGACTCAGGCGTATTTTCCAATTAATTTAGTTGACTTCTATAATATTATTTATCTTCACTATTACAGCAACTGAGCCAGTTTTGGTACGATGAAGCGACAGTGCAGGCGCTAGTGCGCGTAATAGATAAGACGCTGGACGCTGGAGGTCGGGTAGCGCTCATCTCCTGCCCCACACTTTTCGTGCCAGTCAAGCGTCAACTGGGCGATAAAGCTACAGGTATAAAAATATATTGCAAATACAAATATATGAAATAAACAATAGAATAGTACATTTTCGGTGGTGTTTGATGTCTGGAATTCTCCAAGTTCTACAGTGTCTTTTGTGCATTTAAGGCTTAAGTCATTCTGTCTCCTTCCATTTCACATCCCTTAGTCTTTCATCGCCTCATTTTTGCATTTAATTGAAGAAAAAGTGGAAGCTATTTAGTTTTTTTCTTCTTCTCGAATAATATCTTCTGAGTTATTTCGTTGCGGGTTCCAAGACAGTATTCATGTGCCTGGGACGCGCCGGACTTCAGTGTTTCGGTGTTTTCATGGCTGTTTATACTGTAGATACTCTACTCCTTACGGGACTTTTGGCAGGTAGTTGCGGGCCTGCCCAATAAAAAAAAATATTTATTACAAACATACTCCATTTATTCTATAAATGTGTATCAGATTGGACCAGATACGAGATTTTGGTTACAAGGCTTTTTTGTTAGGGTAAATCAAAATTAAATGACTTCTCCCGCCTAGTGTCGGGCAGGAGGGAGTGTCAGACTCCTGCTCTGGGCCGAGACCGCGGTACCCCTGAACATCAGCCCTATAGAGCCCCGTCTGTTGTATTCTATTGGCTCTGAGGCGCGCGAGCTATTGTTACTGTGGTGGCCGGAGATCGTCTCTCGCAAAAGCAAACCTTTTTACCCAAGCTCTATGCTACAATCAAAATGAGTAAATGTAAACATATTACCTAAATTGTTTCCAGTGACTCTGCTGGAATACGACCGACGATTCGAGGTACACGCTCCAGACTTCGTGTTCTACGACTACAACTGTCCAGACAAGTTACCGCCAGAACTCCTCGGCTCCTACGATCTGGTGGTAGCTGACCCTCCCTTCCTCTCCGAAGAGTGCATCACCAAGACATCGCAGACCATCAAACTTATGGCTAAGGATAAAATAATTGTCTGTACTGGAGCCATAATGAAAGATAAAGTAAAGGAACTGTTAGGACTTGATTTATGCGAATTCCAACCTCATCATAGAAACAACTTGGCCAATGAATTCTCCTGTTACGCTAATTTTGATGTAGATGGGATTTTAAGATGATTCATCCTTTTGTTTGGTAGTTTATAAGTGTAAATTTTTATGAATGGCAAATATACCATATATGTATGTAAAGAAACAAATAACCAACAAAGTTGGGTGACTCAGAAAATAAAATATCAATAAATAAGATTTTTGATAAATAATGTTGGTGTTTTAATCTTTTAGTGATATAAGAATAGCGATTTTCATATTTATTTATCGCTTTTACAGTCTTTAAAATGAAAGCATTGCAATTTAGCAGGGCATTTCGTGCAGCAATCGATCATACTTAATAACTGGTAAGCCGTGGAGAACCGACCATGGACGGGTGTCCACCATCAGCAGTATACTAGAGAAGTTATGAGGGTGTTGCCGGCTTTTGGGGCTTAGGATTTGTCAATTTTATTGGGGATGGAGAATGAAAACGTTAGGCCTCGGCAACGTCACACACACGGCGAAACACAAAAAAAGAAAAGTAATCATCAATTTTTCTATCTCGAAAGCCACATTATCATCATCATCAGCCTATAAGTACTTACTACAGACCTAAGACCTCTTCTCAGACGGAGAAGATTTAAGCATTAATCAACACGCTTGCTCAAGGCGGATTGGCGATTTCAAATACATAACTCGGCAAAAATCACATTGGTACTTGCCAGTTTTCGGACCCGCAACCTCATGCACGAAAAGCGGATGCATTAACGTCCAGGTCTCCACAACTAACTATATCTCAGGTTCTAAATTATTTTCTCAGCAATACAGTGCGGTTGACGTATCTTGGCGAGTCTGAAGTTAGCCGATTAGCTGCGCAGTACACAATTTTGTTCCTAAAAGATCCATTGCGCAGACAAACGGCTAACTTCAGACTCGCCAAGATACGTCGGCCGTACTGTACATCAAACAGAATAAAACAACTCACTTGTAAAACATTCCCGTTTTATTGTTCATCTTAACAAAACTAATATATTTGTTACATTACATTATGCTGGTACACATTCATTGCTTCTCCCAATTTGATAACCATTGCAATTAGTCTAAGATTAAAATACATGCATTCATTAACAACCCGGGTAGTGTGACGACCCACTTTTACCCGACCAGGACGCAAAAGAAGGGTACTGTGTTTATTATCTAAATAGTATTTATATGCTAGATTAAAATCAGCAAGGCGCCACACTAACATATCCGTAACTAAACAATGTAGGTTTATATTATATTGTTTTTTAATACAGATAATGTAATAACGCTTTTTGTAAATGTATCAATTGAATGATAACAGAGTTATTAATTTATTCATTTAGTTTATGTAACAGTAAAAACTACAATTCAAAATTACTTATTAATTGTTAAAGTCAAAATATAATCCTTCGATTACATGTTTTTATTGGGGATAAATAATTTTAATTTCAGTTCCAACTGTTACATGTAAAAATAATACATTTTATATTAGGTACATTAAAATTGTCCATGAAACATCAATATAATATTTAAATCCAGAAACCTAATATACATATTATTTTATTAAAATATCAATGGACATTTATTATTAGGTAATATTATTTAATAAATTCTTCACTTATTACTATTAAATAAATAATTGAATTTTATATACAATCGCAGTTCAAATTAAATCAAGTATTTTGGTTTTTATTTGTCTATGGTCTGAATTAGTGTTACCATGTATAAAATCAAATACATTATATATTTAATGTATTATTAGATAGATGAAATGAAGTATTATAATTGATTAATCCTGTTTAGTTTAGGGCAATTTAACCAAACGATATTTCCTATAATAAAAACAAAAATTAAATTTGTACTAAAATAATATTTATCGTCAAATTCATTAATGAATTATAATGTTATCTATGTAAGTTACTGCTGTAACTAAACAACTGTTAAGTCAAGAATGCAAAAATATCTTCTCAAGTCTACTTATAAATCGTGGAGGCAGAGACCATTTCTAAAAAGAGTGAAGGAAATAAAAACATCCCGATTTAAAAGAAAACTGTTTTTGAAGAAAGAATACTAGAATTGTCTTTTATGTAACGTATACTGTACAAGTACTAAGTAATAAAGTTTACCAAAATAAACTCTTAAAGACTCCAATTTGCACATGACATAGTAATATTAAAGATTATCACCCGGTTTCCGAAAGGCCGATCAATGTTAAAATCAATTTAATCTCTTGTCAAGTCATCTGATTGGTTGTTGATAATTCAGTCAACCAATCAGATGACTTGACAAGAGATTTGACACCCAGTTAGTTGATTTTAACATTGATTGGGCTTTTGGAAACCGGGCATAAGAAGGCTATTTATTATGTGTGGTGACATTAAATACATTTATTAAGGGATAGGTAGGGGGCAAAGGAACAGACGGATGGTAGGTAAACTGCGCCGCTCCTGAATACCCAGAACACTCAAAGAGTCATAAGTTCGTTGCCGAATATTCAAAAAGGACATTTATCTAACAAGTTGTTTAGTTAACGCAGTATAAGATTTTAATTTATATACTTTATTTATTTATTTTTTTATTATAACTATCTACAAGGCCGTATTATCCTAGTCCATTTTTTATTATATATTTTTTTAACTAAAGCTGAAATAAATACTTAAACAAACGAGAGACAAGATGCATCGAAGCTCATAGAAATTAGGCCTTATACTAATACAAATAAGGCTGGTAATTTAAAAAATATAGTCAAATAGCAAATACCTAGAAGAAAGTGCGATATACCAACAAAAATATTTTATGAGATTTAAAACTGCATACATTTGTGCATTAATCTGTGAACAAAAATTCTGCTGTATGCTTGTATCTGATAAAACTTTTTCAATTAAATTTCTAAATACTAGTCATTATTTTACACGCTAGATGGCGCTGTACATGAGAAATGTCTATCGGATAGAAAAAAAAAACGAAATATCTCGCGATAGTCTAGTACGCATGCGTAATGGCTTTCAGTTAAATTTGAAAGCTCAAAGAAGCAATACCGTCGCGAGATTTTGTTGTTAAAAGTAATTTAGTTAAATTAACACTAAGAAATAGGTTAGTTCAACTAAAAAAAAGATTTGTCTATGGAAGTAATTAGTATTTAAACTATGATCACAACCTGCCAGTAGTATATATACTAAATTGTCTTTTAGGGTCATACGTTGAAAACTTTAGTGAAATAATAATAATAATGTTAAAACTATTACGTGCAAGCCGACTAATGATCTCATTACAAAACAATTTTTTTCTTTAATCAATTGAGCCAGATTTTTTTTCGAATTGAAGGTCGGTAAGAATAAGATTCCAAATACAAAAGCTGACTAAGGACTGATTTTATAATAGTCAGATAAATGTTATCTGAGGAATAAAATATGTAGTTGCTGTCATTGTCTTACACAAACATTCTGACGCGACAGCATCATAATGATTCCCCGGATAACTTTTATCTAACCATTGAAAAATCAGCCCTAAATGATTTAAACTTATATTAAAGATAAATTTTGTTTTATAATAAGGGGGGAAGAGACAGAGACAGAAACCTATGACAGAAATCTCCAACTTCCTCGCTTAGTGTAAAGATAAAAACCGACCCTCTTATTATAGGCTCTAGGTTCGCTTTTACGGAAAACGCGTCACGCGTTCGTCGTACATCGCAGCAGCAAAAATATGAACATTGAGAGCAATGTATAACTAACCGTGCGACGCGCTGTCTCAGTAAATGAGGCCTTATTCCTTTTACCGTACGACAAATTCTTGCAAATTTAATGTAAAAACTACCGTGTGTTAGTTTCAACTGATATACCTACATATTTCAATATTTGTTGCTAATTTATATACATATTATACATATAGGTAATTAATTTACTCTGCACGGTCAATGGTAATAAAATAGCTCTGATGTATTTTATATGTATCTGTGTATGTATATGAAAGGGACAAATCTGCTACAATATTAATATAGTGAAATAGGTATTTGCGACTATTACTTTCACACAAAAATTAAGGGTACACTTTGTAGGTTTCTGTTGATTATTTTGCAGGCACAGCTATGTTAAATACCCTAATGATAAGAAACCTAGTCCAGTTTTTTCTGATAACGGTACCTATGGTGAATCACAAAATCAAATTAGATCGAGTGGTCAGTTTTATTGAGGGTAATGATAGACAGATAGAGATTTATGTATGTCTTGTGGATTAAATTGAATATTAACTTTGCTATTACCCAACCAGAATCATTATTATATTTACCCTTAACTTTTGTTTGAAGTTTTGTTATTTATGAATCTGTGTACAACAATGGGTAATGTTTTATACATAGATATCTATTAGAAAAATATATATATGAGATAAAACAGTTTCCTAATAATTGAATGGTAAGGCCTACTTGGTATGATGATTAAATATATTTATTGTCTAGTGAAGTTCTGAAATTAGGCCTTAAGACTTAGGTAAGAATGTTTAAGGGGGAACGGAGTTTCATAAAAACTTTGAAAAAAAAAAACTTGGAAACTACAGAACCGATTCTAATGAAACTTTTGTCCTCATAATAAACATATCAAGATCGAGCATATTAAAAAGTACATTTCTAAATATTTTTGTCTTTTTTTAAGTATGTAGATTCTCTACAAACCATTTTACGAAAAAGTTCGTAATTAACTATTTAAATTTGTTTTTCACCGGAATTTAGATCTGAGCGTAGGGCCGATATCATGGTCGCTGGCAATAGTGTAGGTCCAGTTTTAATCAGGACTGGAGGTGATATTTAGTCGGTAAGCGTCTGAAACTTCATTCGACCTCATCCAGTTCAACAGACTTCATTTTGAAGGTTTTTTCTTTACAATAAAGTGTCATTTTCACCGCTGTTATAATAGTACCTGATAAAAATGTTAAATAGTTCATAGAAATTATATTCTATGTTTATTATGCCAATTAGGGCCTTTCAAACTAGACAATAATGTATTTTCTATTGTGTTCCATATAGTGGCAATCTTGAGATTAAAAGATAGGAGCTAGGTACAATTTAT